ATCAGACAAATATGTGTCCTCCTCACTGCTTTTAAACAATTGCTTAAAATCCTGTATCCCCGTAGTGTGATTTGACCATGTGTCGTTTTCTGGTTGTTTCATCCTGTTAGAGCTGTAACTCTTTGTAGAAGTGCACACAGGTAGAGAGAGATGCCACCTGCTATTTTCTGTTGACTCTCACTTTTATTTGTTTTATTTATTATAGCTTAAAGATCAATCCAGGTGTTAAATGAAAAAGTTTTGCACGATATTTGAATCCCTTTTCATAGAAAAATGAGGGAAAAATTTATTCTGTGATTTAAATCCTTGGTCTTACGGGCAGTCTAATAATAATAATAATAATAATAATAAATTAGTCTAAATAGTTTTGTTTTGCAAAACTACTGAGAACCGCAGGTTTGGATTTGTTTTGTGCCCTAAGTTATTAAATAAAAAACAGCAAATTCTTTTAATTTAGAAACCTGAATCATCAGACATTGAGAATATGTGCTAAAAAAAAACTCAATTACTAGATTAGTTATGTAGTGGAAGAAACATTTTCTGTTGATTAAAACAAAAAAAATTAAAATGTGTTTTTCACTGTATAATAAAAACGACTGATCTTTTGGTGCTTTAGTGTAGTTTCCAGCTGTGACAGTATCCGTGTCAGGTACATTAATGTTATCGTCCGTGTCCACTGCTGTGATGCCCTGATAGATCGCTGCAGTTCTTTAACATGATCCCAGCTTCCCTTTTGGCTTTCTGTTCACTAAGCTTCTGTCTCTGTGCTTTTATCCAACATTTTTTCACTTACTCCTCATGTTCCTTATCTGTCCCAGTCTCTCCCCCCGGATCCTCTCACGCACCTCTCCTCTTGCCCTCCCTAGGTTCCTGAAGGCGCTGAGCTTCGCCTCTCTGGATAAGGAGGAACTCCTGAGTCCGATCAACCAAAGCACTCTGCATCGCTGCTCCTCAGTGCGCTCAATGGTGTCTAGCGCCACCTTTGGGTGTAACGATGACTACATCGGCCTGGCTCTGCCCATGGACATCAACGACATGTTTCATATCAGAGACTCTGCTTATTTTCAGCAGAGGGTCAGCCCGCCGTCTGAGGAGCGGAAATGCTTTCTCTTCGGTGATGGAGATGGTAAATGCATTTTATTTTAAATATATCATAACAATGTCAAAAAACACATTTTATTTGAGCTTTACACTGTTTTTATTTTTCTAGGTGATCGCCCTGCTATCCCACTCCTGAAGCAGCAGTTCAGCATCTCTGAGCTGATTGTTTGCAGAGGTGATGGCCAGAACCATATGGTGGGCTCAGAGGAGACGGGTTTGCAGGATCACACTGATGAGAGCTGCCTCTACTGTGTCGGAGCCATCGTCCTGGGATACCCCACACAGCCACAGATCAACAGCACACACCCCCGCACAGGTGGAACTTTACAAACATACACAGTCTGTCACATGAACATGTTTTAAATTCAGAACAGAATATGATGAAGTCTTTTTTTCCTAAACAGATTATGTTGACTTCCCGTCATGGGGCGGGCAGGGTGGCCATCGCCTGGAGGTGATGCCTCAGTCGAAGTTCTCTGGTGTGTCGGGCTGCAGCGACGCTGCTGTATCACAAGGCTCAATCTGTAGCACACCCACACCTGCTGACATAGTGCTAGGTAAGAACATAGTGAAACCCACCCTGAGTGTTTTATAACACCAAACAAAAATAGACACTAGGCGGCGCTCAAGGCAAAATAACCAAATGATACGCTCGATCAACTATCCAAAACTCAAAGCAACACTATGAGTTGAACAGACAGGATGTATACACAACTAAAATGAATGTCCCATGAAGGAATTATTCGTAGTCTAAATATGAAAAAGTCGAGCTAAGAGAGAACAAATGAGAACAACTCCTTTACATCCTGTACATTTGTGTTTTTTAATGTTAATTTTATCGTTGTGTTGTTACTTTGTTGTTTTTATCTCTGCTCTGTAAGGTGACCTTGACAGTTTTGAAAGGCGCCTTTAAATAAAATGTATTATTATTATTATTAACTATTTAAGGCATAACAACTGTGTTTTCAATTGCTGGGATCATTTGGAGTCATATTTGATAGTTTGCACAAGTTTAATTTTTCTGTAAGCTCAAAATGATATAACTGTAAGAAGTATGAGTGCTCACTCAGGGTTCACTGTGAGACAGAACCATGCTTATGTCTGAGAAGTCACTTTGAGACATTTAAGAAAATGTACAAAAAGTGCTCATTTTTGTCTAGGAAACATAGATAAGACATACGTACTATCTTACCATTAAGAAAAAAAGGGAAATGTTATTATTGAACGTATTTAAAATCAACCACACAGGGCGCTGTTTGCCTCGCAGATAGTTTGTGCGGCCCATGTAGAGTCTGTTGCCCTCCAAGCGGGCGGTCCATGTTGGACTCTGACCTGTGGCTTATATTTAATTATGTGTGTCTTTCAGGTGGTAAGGCGATATCAGAGGATGGTCCTGCCTCCCGGGTCTTGCTGAGGAAGGAGGTTCTCCGTCTCATCATCAACCTCAGCTCCTCTGTAGGAACCAAAGGCCACGAAACAGGACTTCTGACGTAAGGCCCTCTCTACTCTTTAATATGAACGCTTTTTTTTTAAGATGCACGTTCCCTTGAAAATATGTTTTTTTTCTTCAGGATAAAGGAGAAGTTTCCCTACGCGTTGACGACATCTGCCTGTACTCTGAGGTTTCTCACCTCTTAGCTCACTGTATGTTTCGCCTGACCTCCCGACGATTCATACAGGAACTCTTCCAGGACGTGCAGTTCATGCCAGTGAGACACACTTTGGCCTTCTTTTTTTTAAATTCCTGTTAGTATCAAATACTCCCAAGTTTAACACCCTTCTTTCCTCTTTTCCAGATGTATGAAGAAGCCGAGGCAATCCTGACAAAGCTACCAAAACCTGTTGAAGAGGATGTTGACCCTCCTGCAGAATCCTGATTACCCCCCCGCCCAGTGTTTTTTTTTTTTCTGCACAGACCCTGTCCTAGCACCCTACAAACATGAACATCATAGGCAAGGAAAAAATAGAACATGGTTAAAAAAAATGGGGAGCATTTGGTATGGTTCTGTTGCTCCAAACAGAGTATAAGCCAAGGGAGAGAAGGACACGGAGATCTTCGCTCACTTTTCTTCCAACAAACAAGATCTGGAAACAAAGGACTTCAATATCTGTAAACAAAACCTAACCTGAGACGCCTAATGCTATTTCAAACGTATTTTTTTTCTTTTTTTTCTTTTTACAGTTTACAGTTAAAAGGGGGAGCCGTTTAACCAAATACTGTTTTCAAATGGATTCAATCTTGAGCAACTTGATAAAACATCAACATAAAGCTGAAGGACAAGCTGGATCATTAAGGCAAAGACTCAATTTATAACAAAAAAAAAAGAAGAAATAATTCCAAACATGTTATCTCTTTTCAGAGGTTGTGTTTTTTTCTGTCATGAAATGAATAAGGCATGTTGTTGTGTCAACCCAGTGATTCCTCGGACCCTGCGTTCTTTCTCTCCTTCTGAAACAAAAAAAAACACTACATAGAGGAGGGTCCTGCTGTTTTCACATTTCTGGAGCCTTCCTGGTTCACATCCCGCCCCACATGTGTGCATCTGCTTCTCTTGCCTTGCCACTTCCTACAACCTGTAGCCTCTCGTCAGCACAGACAGCCAATTCCTTTTCTATTTCTTGTATCTCAGACAATCAAACATCACTAGTATTGTATTTTCTAAAGCACTATATATATGCCACCATTACACAGTACAAGAGAATAGCGTGTAGACTTATGCTAGGTTATGCCATCCTTTACTCGCGTAGGATCTTTTCTGTCTTTCTTCAGCCATTGCATTAGTGGTAAAGCTTCTCAGGAGGTGGGAGGATGTTAAAAGGATGTTAAAAAGATGTTCACGTTATCTGTTGATTGATGCATTACAGATTTAGCACCAAATCTGATGTCTCCCATCCTGTAAGCCCAGCAGCAGCCCGACTCTTTGCCTTCTTACCTCTGTGCTTCAGTCCCCTGCATGTGCAACAAGCATGGCAAAGTTGTTATGTCACCTTAAAGTGTTTCTTGCTTGTAAAACGTTTTTTTTTTTTTTTTTAAAGAAATAGGTTGCCATAACATGCTGCCATTACATTGTAGGAATATATCAACCCCTGAAACTGTTTCCACAATGCAATATCACTGTCTGTCATTGGCTGAGATGGAGGAAGAGGAGGGAGCGAGAGAGACGGGGAGTGCGATGACTAAAGGATTTGTAAAAGGTTTCAAGGGAAACGGGGGATCTCTGTTTCCATCGGCTTGTTTTTTGCTATAATGCTGCTACACAAAAGGACTCATAGAGAGATAATTCATAGATCAGCTGCGTGATGTCAGATCCGATCTATTTATTATAAGTCTGTACCATAGAGTGAGCTCAACCAGAGAAGAAGAAAAAAAGTTATTTATATTTTTCCTCAAGACTGTATTATAATTTAAAAAGATTTTTGTTTTGTTTTGCCTGAATCGTGGTTTCCCTTGTATAATGTGTACAGTATGTTTTTTGGGGGCTTTGACCTAAAGAAACATACAATCCTATCAAAGGGATGCATTGTTAATAAAAGAAAACATTGGAAATACCCAAAATGTTCCATCCTCTGTTTATTTATTTTCTCAGTCATTTATGTCTAAATGTACTGTCCCTGTAGTAGTGGAACTTGGGCCCCTAAAAGTTGAGAGACCCCTACCCGAGGTAGAACAAAGCACGACCATATTTTTTCATAACTTGAACATGTCTAGTTTATGAAACGGATTGTTGTATAAAAATATTTTACTGCAAAATAACTTTTTTTGGATGTTTTATGCATCTTAAAAAAAACGAAAATAGGTCAAATTAGGGCTTCTCCAAAAGGGACAGCTCTAGCCTTATCACATGTATCTCTGGGAATCGGAATCAGAATTTCACCAAATTTGGACAGGATGTTCACAGATAGTTATTAGTTACAATTATGCAAAGTTTTTATCAATACCATTTTCATTTTTTGAATTTTTCACACTTAAACACACGTAGTTTAGGCAGAAATTGAAAATTGAAACAAAAATTCAAAAGGTATGTATGTCAACGTCTGTCATTTTTTAAGTAAGGACACCAAACATTAAAATATGTCATTTGTATCTTCTTTAGACTGTTATCTCAACATAAAAGCAAGTTATTTGACTTTTCACTTGACCCTATGCTGTCACCAGCCCCTAACAGGAAACTAGTGCAGCCAGGATTTCAGGGCGACCTGGTACAATGGGGCCCTATGGATGTGTATGTGGGAGGAGGTGGCCACAAAAAATTGATTAAGACTTAACAACAAGACTCAATATAATTGTATTCTGTAATATATATATAATTAAACATTTTATAGTTATTCCTAATACATTTTGTCTCATATTTTCTATCTTGCATATGATTTATATGATGACACTCAGAGTCAACCCGCTGCTTTCAACAATATTGTCACCTATGACATTGTTTCTATTTCATTCTAGAAAATTAAAGCATTGTCTTGACATCAGTTGTGAAATATTAATGAACTTAAAAACAGTATTGATATATATAACCTTGAGTTCTTAGAAATTAAATATACTTCATATAATCTATTTGTATATCGGCCATACAGCCTGTTGTAGTTTTTTTTATGTATTTCAGTCATATAAAGATGGTGTGCAGTCACCATATCTTCTGCTTTTAAGATGAACCCTAGTTACTCCAGTGGATACACTGGATGAAGGGATAGTTTTTATAATTCCATAAGTATGATAAAGTGTTAAAAAAAAACTACAATAGCTATTTTTGTTGAATGATTTATCAGGCAACCAATGAAGCTGGGATACAAAACAATTCTTATGATGGCTTAAATGTGTGTAAGGTAAATTAGGATAACAATCATGCAAACATGTTTATAAAAAACTTCTTTATACACTTATTTTACTTCATTACATATAATGACATTTGATTTTAATTACAAAGGATGATTTCCACTTTTAGAAAAAATGACTGTGAACCTGAGAGCTTAACACGTTGCAACTACAAACCTTTGTGTCACACTAAGCATCCCCTGGGGACAAAGTTTGACCTCTTACCTCACAGGAGCTTTAAGAAAACAATTGCTGCAGAAAATAACCATCAACAAAGTCAACCAACCAAACACCACAACCAAATCAAGACATCACAACCAAATCAAGACATCACAACCAAATCAAAACACCACAACCAAATCAAGACATCACAACCAAATCAAGACACCACAACCAAATCAAGACAACACAACCAAATCAAAACACCACAACCAAATCAAGACATCACAACCAAATCAAGACAACACAACCAAATCAAAACACCACAACCAAATCAAGACATCGCAACCAAATCAAGACAACACAACCAAATCAAGACACATAACCAAATCAAGACAACGCAACCAAATCAAGACATCAAACCAAATCAAGACACCACAACCAATTAAGACAACACAACCAAATCAAGACACACAACCAAATCAAAACACCACAACCAAATCAAGACATCGCAACCAAATCAAGACAACGCAACCAAATCAAGACACCGCAACCAAATCAAGACAACGCAACCAAATCAAGACATCACAACCAAATCAAGACACCACAACCAATTAAAGACAACACAACCAAATCAAGACATCACAACCAAATCAAGACAACACAACCAAATCAAAACACCACAACCAAATCAAAACACCACAACCAAATCAAGACATCACAACCAAATCAAGACAACACAACCAAATCAAACACCACAACCAAATCAAGACATCACAACCAAAATCAAGACATCACAACCAAATCAAGACAACACAACCAAATCAAAAACACCACAACCAAATCAAGACACTCGCAACCAAATCAAGACAACACAACCAAATCAAGACAACATAACCAAATCAAGACAACGCAACCAAATCAAGACATCGCAACCAAATCAAGACAACACAACCAAATCAAGACATCGCAACCAAATCAAGACAACACAACCAAATCAAGACACCGCAACCAAATCAAAACACCACAACCAAATCAAGACATCACAACCAAATCAAGACAACACAACCAAATCAAGACACCACAACCAAATCAAGACAACGCAACCAAATCAAGACAACACAACCAAATCAAGACAACGCAACCAAATCAAGACACACAACCAAATCAAGACATCACAACCAATAAGACAACACAACCAAATCAAGACACCACAACCAAACCAAGACATCACAACCAAATCAAAACAACATAACCAAATCAAAACACCACAACCAAATCAAGACAACACACCAAATCAAACACTCACAACCAAATCAAGACAACACAACCAAATCAAGACATCACAACCAAATCAAAACACCACAACCAAATCAAGACAACGCAACCAAATCAACACCCAACCAAAAAAATCAAAACACCACAACCAAATCAAAGACACGCAACCAAATCAAAGACACCACAACCAAATCAAGACATCGCAACCAAATCAAGACAACGCAACCAAATCAAGACACCGCAACCAAATCAAGACAACGCAACCAAATCAAGACATCACAACCAAATCAAGACACCACAACCAATTAAAGACAACACAACCAAATCAAGACACCACAACCAAATCAAGACATCACAACCAAATCAAAACAACATAACCAAATCAAAACACCACAACCAAATCAAGACAACACAGCCAAATCAAAACACCACAACCAAATCAAGACAACACAACCAAATCAAGACATCACAACCAAATCAAAACACCACAACCAAATCAAGACAACACAACCAAATCAAAACAACACAACCAAATCAAGACAACACAACCAAATCAAAACACCACAACCAAATCAAGACAACACAACCAAATCAAAACACCACAACCAAATCAAGACAACACAACCAAATCAAAACACCACAACCAAATCAAAACACCACAACCAAATCAAAACACCACAACCAAATCAATTTCATTCATATAATCTATTCTAAGACAAATGACAACATATAACCAAACACACAACTTTTTTGTTTAAAAATACCTTTAGCTATGTTCTATTGTCTGTGGCTGGATTGCCTGTAGATGGTAATGCCTTTTCCTTGCATTTGATTGGCTGCATGTGGTTATTGTGTCAGTATTGTCTACTTTTTTTGCCTTGCCTTTATTTTGCTGTATTTGATTGTGTTGAATGCATTTCTACAATTCTACAATTTATTTAGGACACTTTTATCCAAAGCAACGTACATCAGAGAGTAAGTAAAACAAAAGCGAGGATCTAGAGAGGAGGAAAACGATGTCAGTAAGTGCAAATGAACAGCTTTAAGTCAGATCAGACACTAATGCTGACAGGCAGTGCACAGAGGCAAAGCACAACAATGACAGCTGTTCTTGGGAGCTCAATCAGTATAGAAACCATCTTAAATTCATGGTTATCAAACAAAAACCATCGTCATTACCATCATCATCAATAATAATTAGTTTATGTTGTCTTGATTTGGTTGTGCTGTCTTTGGTTGTGGTGTCTTGATTTGGTTGTGTTGTCGTTGGTTGTGATGTCTTGATTTGGTTGTGCGGTCTTTGGTTGTGGTGTCTTGATTTGGTTGTGTTGTCGTTGGTTGTGGTGTCTTGATTTGGTTCTGTTGTCTTGATTTGGTTGTGTTGTCGTTGGTTGTAGTGTCTTGATTTGGTTGTGTTGTCTTGGTTGTGGTGTCTTGATTTGGTTGTGTTGTCTTTGGTTGTGGTGTCTTGATTTGGTGTTTGTCGTTGGTTTGTTGGTGTCTTGATTTGGTTGTGTGTCTTTGGTTGTGTTGCCTTGATTTGGTTGTGTTATCTTTGGTTGTGGTGCCTTGATTTGGTTGTGTTGTCTTTGGTTGTGTTGTCTTTGGTTGTGGTGTCTTGATTTGGTTGTGTTGTCTTTGGTTGTGTTGTCTTTGGTTGTGGTGTCTTGATTTGGTTGTGTTGTCTTGATTTGGTTGTGTTGTCTTTGGTTGTGGTGCCTTGATTTGGTTGTGTTGTCTTTGGTTATGGTGTCTTGATTTGGTTATGGTGCCTTGATTTGGTTGTGTTGTCTTTGGTTGTGTTGTCTTTGGTTGTGTTGTCTTGATTTGGTTGTGTTGTCTTTGGTTGTGTTGTCTTTGGTTGTATTGTCTTTGGTTGTGTTGTCTTTGGTTGTGGTGTCTTGATTTGGTTGTGTTGTCTTTGGTTGTGTTGTCTTTGGTTGTGTTGTCTTGATTTGGTTGTGTTGTCTTTGGTTGTGGTGTCTTGATTTGGTTGGGGTGCCTTGATTTGGTTGTGTTGTCTTTGGTTGTGGTGTCTTGATGTGTTTGTGTTGTCTTTGGTTGTGGTGTCTTGATTTGGTTGTGTTGTCTTTGGTTATGGTGTCTTGATTTTGTTATGTTGTCTTGATTTGGTTGTGTTGTTTGGTTTGGTGTCTTGATTTGGTTGTTGTGTCTTTGGTTGTGGTGTCTTGATTTGGTTGTGTTGTCTTTGGTTGTGTTGTCTTGATTTGGTTGCTGTCTTGATTTGGTTGTGGTGCCTTGATTTGGTTGTGTTGTCTTTGGCTGTGGTGTCTTGATTTGGTTGGGGTGTCTTGATTTGGTTGTGTTGTCTTTGGTTGTGGTGTCTTGATTTGGTTGTCTTGTTGTGTTGTCTTGATTTGGTTGTGTTGTCTTTGGTTATGGTGTCTTGATTTTGTTATGTGTCTTGATTTGGTTGTGGTCTTTGGTTGTGGTGTCTTGATTTGGTTGTGTTGTCTTTGGTTGTGGTGTCTTGATTTGGTTGTGTTGTCTTTGGTTGTGTTGTCTTGATTTGGTTGTGTGCTTGCTTTGGTTGTGCTGTCTTTGGTTGTGTTGTCTTTGGTTGTGGTGTCTTGATTTTTTTGGGGCCTTGATTGGTTGGTGTTGTCTTTGGTTGTGTTGTCTTGATTTGGTTATGTTGTCTTGATTTGGTTGTGGTGTCTTGATTTGTTATGTTGTCTTGATTTGGTTATGTTGTCTGATTTTGTTATGTTGTCTTGATTTGGTTCTGTTGTCTTGATTTGGTTCTGTTGTCTTTGGTTATGGTATCTTGATTTGGTTGTGGTGTCTTGATTTGGTCGTGGTGTCTTAATTATGTTATGTTGTCTTGATTTGGTTCTGTTGTCTTGATTTGGTTGTGTTGTCTTTGGTTGTAGTGTCTTGATTTGGTTGTGTTGTCTTTGGTTCTGTTGTCTTGATTCGGTTGTGGTGTCTTAATTTAGTTATGGTGTCTTGATTTGGTTCTGTTGTCTTGATTTGGTTGTGTTGTCTTTGGTTATGGTGTCTTGATTTGGTTGTGGTGTCTTGATTTGGTTATGTTGTCTTTGGTTGTAGTGTCTTGATTTGGTTGTGTTGTCTTTGGTTCTGTTGTCTTGATTTGGTTGTGGTGTCTTAATTTAGTTATGGTGTCTTGATTTGGTTATGTTGTCTTGATTTGGTTATGTTGTCTTGATTTGGTTATGTTGTCTTTGGTTCTGTTGTCTTGATTTGGTTGTGGTGTCTTGATTTGGTTATGTTGTCTTGATTTGGTTATGTTGTCTTGATTTGGTTATGTTGTCTTGATTTGGTTATGTTGTCTTGATTTGGTTATGTTGTCTTGATTTGGTTGTGTTGTCTTGATTTGGTTATGTTGTCTTGATTTGGTTATGTTGTCTTGATTTGGTTGTGTTGTCTTTGGTTGTGTTGTCTTTGGTTGTGGTGTCTTGATTTGGTTGTGTTGTCTTTGGTTGTGTTCTCTTGATTTGGTTGTGTTGATTTGGTTCTGTTGTCTTGATTTGGTTGTGTTGTCTTTGGTTATGGTGTCTTGATTTGGTTGTGGTGTCTTGATTTGGTTATGTTGTCTTTTGGTTGTGTTGTCTTTGGTTGTGGTGTCTTGATTTTTTGTGATGCCTTGATTTGGTTGTGTTGTCTTTGGTTGTGTTGTCTTGATTTGGTTATGTTGTCTTGATTTGGTTGTGGTGTCTTGATTTGTTTATGTTGTCTTGATTTGGTTATGTTGTCTTGATTTGGTTGTGTTGTCTTGATTTGGTCGTGTTGTCTTTGGTTATGGTGTCTTGATTTGGTTGTGGTGTCTTGATTTGGTTATGTTGTCTTGATTTTGTTATGTTGTCTTGATTTGGTTGTGTTGTCTTGATTTGGTCGTGTTGTCTTTGGTTATGGTGTCTTGATTTGGTTGTGGTGTCCTGATTTGGTTGTGTTATCTTTGTTTGGTTGGTTGACTTTGTTGATGGTTATTTTCTGCAGCAGTTGTTTTCTTAAAGCTCCTGGGAGGATTGTTTTGGTTGGTTATGGAGCTCACTTAAACTGATATCGTGAAATGGTTTACAAAAGCAAACAAGACCTTAAGATAGAATATATTTTCTTCTGTGAAGTTATTCTCATGTGTTACTGCTTTCAGCGGGTTGGTGTCATTTTCTACAGCCAAGATTCAGAGTTAGGGATATATTTGACGGTTCAAACTTGGCAGAAGGAGATTTTTCATCAGTAAACACAACCTACACAAGCACAGGACAAGATCAGCGAAGAGATAAGAGGTCAAACTTTGTCTCCAGGGGATGCTTAGTGTGACACAACGGTTTTTAGTTGTACGGTGTTAAGCTCTCAGGTTCACAGCCATATTGTCTTAAGTGGAAATTCATCCTTTGTAATTAGCATTTAAAACTCAAATGTCATTATATATAATGAGGTAAAATAAGTGTATAAAGAAGTTTTTTATAAACATGTTTGCATGATTGTTATCCTAATTTACCTTACACACATTTAAGCCATCATAAGAATTGTTTTGTATCCCAGCTTCATTGGTTGCCTGATAAATCATATACAACAATCCGTTTCATAAACTAGACATGTTCAAGTTATGAAAAATATGGTCGTGCTTTGTTCTACCTCGGGTAGGGGTATCTCGAAAACTAAAGCCTTTTTGGGGGGTTTGTTCCTCTACTACTGGCTTGCTCTCAATATCCCCCGTCAACAACTCAATTATTTAATTTCAGATTAATCAAATTAAAACTTCTGCCCTGTACCCGAGTTGCAATCTCTTGTGTTGAAAAAATGAAGCCATTGTGGAAGTGCAATAAACTGTAGGTCCTTGAGTGTCCACTAGAGGATTGTTCCCAAAAAGCATTCGGCCCATATTTAAATGTCAACTTTTACAGCAGAAATAAACATGTCTACAGCCGGGTTTTCAAAACATGGATTTGCAGTGATAGCTGTTTATATAAATGTTTGTTGGAGCCAACATTTCCAATATGACGACTGTGACCATTGGGCCTCTTCAGAAAGCAGTAGATGACATCACTGAGACCAGGTCTGTTTTATACAGGAACTTCCTGTACCCCACTGTTTGAACGTTTTGAGTCATAAAGCAAAATGATTGAGACACCAAATGTAGTATTTATATCTAAAATTATTTCCCCTAGAAAAACAAAACAATAAAATGATTAAAACTTCTTTGATGTCGGACCATCTTTACAGTTATTTTGTCAAATCTTCTGAAGAAAAGGGAAATTGTAAGAGTCTTAGCAACCGGGTTTAATTTTTCTTAACTTTCATTTTCATATTTCCCAACATCACTGCAAGAAAGAACTTTGTTAAATAAACATTTTATTGACATATTCAACATTAAATGCACCTGTTTAGTATCTTTTAAATCAAGTAAGATTCAGTGGTTATGTCCAGAGTCGGTGTTCGATCCAGGGACAGAGGCTGGTGTTGATTTCTGGAGGATTCCAGTCAGGCACCTTCTATTCATCTAATTATCCTTTACGCCTCAGAAAATCCAGATCAATTAAAGGCTGGGCAAATGTCAGAAATCTAGTATGGCAACATTTTGTAAATACAAATTATTAAATTCAACTGACTGGAGCTCAATCGGCCTAAAAGCTGGAGGGACAATAACAAGAGGCACAAATAAACACTAAAGCACTCAAAATATTTGTACAGAATCTTTTGGTTGTATAATTTTTTTTTTCAAAATGTTTTGTGTACCATAAATAATTCTAAGTATTATGCTGAGTTAAACACAAAAAAACAAACATAATTTTTCTGATTGCACATTGTACAACAATGAGAAACTATAATACGTAATGCTGGAGTGTGTGCTCCTTTCAATCACTCTTAACAGTGCTAAAGTGAAATACTCACACATACAAAATAATTACAGTCAATAAAAAAACATACAAAATTACACTTTATAGAACATTTGTCAACTTCGTGTCCTGTCAAAACTATTTAGACCATTGAACAACGAATGATGCCCAGCTACAGCTCTTATGAAGACAGATATGTGGCTTCTTATTGGTCGAGACAGGACCATTGTCTCATTTTGCAATCGTCCACTCTTTGATTGCCCAAAGATATTGCACAACTGTGTGTTGCTGTTTCAGTCCCACTGGTCCATTTGTGATTGAGGTACATAGTTAAGTTAATGATTTCCATACTGGCATAAACTTCATGACTCCTTGTTTACTAACTTTGTCCTTTTTACGTGTCCATCCTTGTTCAGTTTGTTACAGAAGTATCACTCTTTAAGATTGAACAGTTTTCTCATATGTGCTCAGAAACTATCACTTTTCACCTTCTTTGCCTGATGGTTTGCTTCAATCTGTGAAGTATTGTCCACGTCTTTAGGAGCCTTTGCATCTGCCTCCTGTTTTATTTCATTGTCTTCATAACTCATGTTATCATAAATGTGTTTAATTGTGTTTCTCATCTCCAGCTCCTGCTCGCCTTTGCTTTGGCCTGCTGCTGCTGCAGCAACACAGCTTTATTCACACTCGGACCTGAGGAAAAGAAACATCAAAATGTGAATTTTTAAATTCTATTTCATAATAGCTCCTGACATGTCTTTGCTGCATTCAAAAGAACGACCTGTTAAAAACATACCAAAGTAGCTGAGCAGCACAGGGAGGAATATGAGTCCATGAGCCAAGCCCAGAAGTGTGATGATCAGGTTTAGTCGGAAAAGAAGATTTGTATGAGTTGTGCTTTGCAAACGCCAACACCAGGATGCCTGGCAGGTTGGTCATTGCAACACCAGCAAACACCTACAGGCAACAAAAGAATCATATTAAACTCCAACAACTTATATTAGGACTTATACTTCACTAACTTTTGAGAAGCACTACATGTCAGTTTATATTTGAATG